AGTTATACTTTGTGATAGATTCTCATTGAACCTGTGCAAATAATTATTGCCATGAATATTAAGGGAACTCAGTAATAGTTTTTGAATTCTGGACAATCAGAGAAAATTGGATGTCATTTTTAAATGTTTTGATTTAGCTTATAAAAGCAGAGTTTACTAAATTGTAGGTTAGAGATAGCTTAAAAAGTAAGTTAAAAGGCATCCTCATATATCCAGAAAATAGAACATTAAACAACATCAACAGAATTCCAGACAAATCACCACAATAAAATTTTCTTCTTCTGTTCAGTCAGTCCTATGAATGAAATGTAATTAATTCTTGTTCTGCTGGATGTTTAGCGGTCCACGTTCATGAAGCCATCTGCATCCAGAGTAAAGAGTCCAGACATCCAAAGAAATTCTGACTCAGTCCCCCAGTGCAGCTTAAGAATTGTCTCAGTGATGTCAGCTCAGTGGCCTGTGCCCAAGAGTCTATTCCTTGAAATATCAATATTTAAAAATACCTGTTATATACAGTTCTTTTCCATGAAACTCTGAGGCTGTCCTTTACTGAAGTCACAAACTCTGGCCTGTGCTCATAGCAGAGCCTTCAGGCAAGCACCAGAGTAATACAGAAGGTATCTGTAGACTAGAGAGACTTAGTGACTTAATGATTAATTTGTTACTATGACCAGTAATATCAGAATGGGGAGAGTAAAATTCTCTACTGGAATATCCTACATAGCTGTTATGTAAGGTTTGATCAGTATTTCCCCTGGGGGTAAAAACATAGTATACACAGTGGGGCATGGCAAATCTCCAGTCTTTCCACAAATCATACACTTTCTGAAATATTTAAATTAATAGCATTTTACTTTTTTTGTTTGTTTTAGGTTATTTTTGTTTTTGTTTTGGTGGCTGGCTAGTACAGGGATCTGAACCCTTGACCTTGGTGTTACAAGGCTGCACTCTGACTGAGCTAACTGGCCAGCCCCCAGATTAATAACATTTTAATTAAACTGTCTTAACCTAGGGAAGGCTGAGCATCTCTTCTGATTTGACAGCTCTTCCCATGCTACTCTTAAAATATTAACTCTTAAAACAAACACAATATTTATGGCATCTCTTTTTATAAGGTAAAAGAACAAATCTTTATGATTTTCCAGAACCTCTCTGGGAAATCTCAAAGAGAGTTTTAGGTGTAAAACCCCTTCTAAAAATGTTATTTTATTTTTTCAGAGGGTTCAATCTGGAAAGGCAAAACCAAAAGAGGAGTTTTAGGTACTTGGTTAAGATAGGCGCACAGGTGTTTAGGAAACAATACCTGCTTATCTATATAATCAAAGTAGCAATAAAATATTTAAAAATAAATATAGAGAGTAACACAATTATTAAAAATTTAGCTCTTTTTAAAAAAGTGAGCTGTGTCCTCCCCCCCCCCCCCCCC